TCTTTGTGATTTTTTGAAATAAAGCTTTAAAGTGGTCATTTTAAAAGTATCGCCCGAAGATACCGTCAGGTCGAAACCATGGTCGCGTATTTTAATTGACCTCCCGATTTTTAAAGTTAAAAGCTCTACATGTTATGTTATTTTTATTCTTTTTTTATATATTTTTCTCACCTGTGTTAAGCACTTTTTAATATTAATGTTTCCTAGTCTGATTCAAATCTGACCATTAACTTTTATATATATATATATATATATATATATATATATATATATATATATATATATATATATATATATAAGGCAGGATGTGTGCGTGTGTGTAACGAATGCACGGCCGCAATTTTCGACGGATTTGCACCAAAATTTACATGCACATGCTCCAAGTTAGTGGGAAGCCCAAGACCGACTTTGCATTTCCCAACTCCCATCGAGAGTGGAAATAATCGATTTAATGTAGTTTGCGGCCATTTTCTACTGGCCAGAGTGAGAGCCAATAGCTGGCTGCCACGAATAGGCAGGAAGATTCTATTGGCCAGCGTGAGAGCCAACAGCTGACTGACACGAATGTTAACTAGCACGCAAAAAATCGATAGCTGCATTCGTCACAAGTGGGAAAAATTTAAATCTGCATGGCACTTTACTCCAATTGGCTCATTCGCTTGCTTAAACTCAACGTTGATTCTGATCCCGCAGAACTGGGTTGGGTGTGAAAAAGTATTTGTTGTTAACATTCTTTTTTCATTCGGTTTTTCCATTTACGAGTCCTTTTTTAAAGCTGATCGTTTTGTGTTCATTTTGTTTAGATCTTTTTTCGTAACAGACTTAATGTTTAGTATAGAACTTATTATTATGAGATAGGCAAGAAGTAAGGCGTGTAGCAACATCACCACGGAAAAGGGCACTCCTTTAAAGGAAAGGAAGGGCAAAAATATTTTAAGTCAAGTGATAGCGATTGCTGTATGAGTCCTACGATTTTTGAATCAAGCACGGGAAACGCTGGGCCATGCTCCTAGTGTATATATATATATACACACACACATATATATATATATATAGTGAATAATCAAAAAAAATTCTCTTTACCTCATGTGTGGGAATAGGCTATTTCAGCAGACCATACAAGCGGGTATCTGTCTTTTCAACTTTGATATGGAATGGAATTCACGTCCGTAGAGCTAGAGGAAGCCAAAAGTGAAAGTTAACTATAAGGAAGTAAAAGGGTCAACCTAAAATTTAACATGCCAACTATACCTAATACAAAGTTCATATAAGTCAAGTGATGGCTCCGGACAGGAGTCAGGGAAGCTGGCCAATATTTATTTTAAAGGGGAGAAGGTGTATTAAATGATGTCAGAGAATAATAACCCTGTGTAGACAAGTTAGGTGTATTAGAACTTGAAACAAATAAAAATAAAACATATATAAGGTAACAAAGAAGTAAAAGAGAACTCGAGGAATATTCTAAGTAGAAGAAAATTTTATAATTTATAGCAAATATAACATAAACAAGGAAAGAAAGAATTAGAGATGTTTTAGGGTAGCTAAATAAGGCACAATTATGTTATGGAAGTCTTAATCTGTTTTTATGCCGGTATGTTTTCATTAAGACACGTCTCATTAAATAATTTAGAAAAGTCTTATCTATTTATTTTTAATAGGATCCTCTCGTAATTACGGACAAGTTTCTTAATATCCTTATTAAAGGAAGAAAGAAAATTACCTTGTTGATGCATATTCATTTTATTCCGAAGACTTTCGACATTAACACAATATCGTCATCAGGATGTTGTTTTATCTAAGACAAAAAATTGTTGCGTTCATCATTTTTCTAAAACAAAATTGTCATGTTTATCTCAAAATTAAATTTTTACGTGTGAAGTGAAAAACGCTAAAGTTGTGTACTGTACAATTTCGAAATTTCATCATGTAGACATACGTACAAACCTCAAGGGAGGTAACTAAGTTATTGAAATGTCTAAATATTTTTTTAAGTCCCATTCTACGATCACAAAAATAATATATATGTACAACGGGATGGTGTTTCAATGGGTTCAGTTCTGGGCCCTATTTTTAGTAATTTTTATATGCCCAGTCTTGAAAATATTATATTTTAAAAAAAACTATATATATATATATAGATAGATAGATAGATAGATAGATAGATAAGGGAAATTGAATGACAAAGTGGAAAAAAGCTTACTTGTGATGCGTTTCGTTTCGTCTTTCAGGTTGTTTCATGCTAGACGCAATCGTCAGGCGGCCTGACGATTGCGCCTAGCAGGAAACAGCCTGTCGTGTTGACTTCAATATTCACTATATATATATATATATATATATATATATATATATATATATATATATATATATATTGTGATGTCAACGAACACCCGTTTGACACTTTTGTGATGCCAACGAATACTCTTTGTCACTTTCAGATAAAACTCTAGTACACGCTTTCGAATACCACTCGCACTAATATTACTTGCTCGATAATACTCACTCCAATAGTAACCACTGTATAGTGATCTCTATAGAGAAATAGTATAGTGAATAGAGTAGAGAATAGCGATCCGTATAGTAATAGAGGATAGACTAGAAATAGCGATCGATCAGACGTCACGCTATATTCCATATATGTGTTACGATCACGTGGTATACTTAATTCAATAATGGGACCCCCTGTGTTTGCTCACTGGTGATCTATGTTGAAACAAATGTCGGTAGCGACACTTTATTCCTATATATATATATATATATATATATATATATATATATATATATATATATATATATATATATATATAGAGAGAGAGAGAGAGAGAGAGAGAGAGAGAGATAAGTGGACATTGAAGTCGTGTAAGCCTGAAACAGACTGTCGGCGCTTGGTGTTGAGTTCAATCTCCACTTTTATATTTACATTTGCTATATCCCTCAAATATAGCATACCATAAAAACTATATTTTATCACACACACACAAAATATATATATATATATATATATATATATATATATATATATATATATATATACTTAGTGAAATAAACAAATCAGAGATACAACGGATAAAAAATTAAATTAACGGTATATTTTTTCAGATCAAACATAAGAAAAAAAGAAAGAATCGTCACCAAAAATAATCACCGTTTTTATTTTGTTCCTCCTCCTCGTGTTTTTATGACATCCTAAATTCTTTGAGGCAAGGATTTCACTAATGAAGAACAATATTCTCCCATAAACTGTTTCCAACTTTTTCGTATAGCAAATGTCAATCAGCTTTACAGAATGGAACTTTTTTTTTATTTCCACCTTAGTTTTCAACCGAAATGAGATCCAGATTACTCGTCATCCATGTTATTAACTTGATATACCTTTCCTGACAAAAAACCTTCTTGTAATTCCATATTATAAATATAATTCGATATTATAAAAGAATAGGCAAATTTGTTTATTTTAATGTTTCATTGGAATATAACCGGACAAGATCCCAAATCCTAGCCTTAACCAATGCAGATTCATGATTCATCACTAAATACTACTTCAGTCCAATCATCCACATCCGATGACTGCTTTTCAGTAAATTACTACGAGTGCGAGAAAAAAAAATGACAAAAACTAAGGTATGATCGCAAAATAAAAGAAAGGAATGTGGATGATCCGACCATGTGTACGTGGCATGGTGGGTCCTAGTTGTAAAGGTCTGAACTGGGAGGACTAAGGAATTTAGCTGGTATGAATATTTACCGTAGAAATAGCAATAGGGATACGCTTTCGACATTTCATCTGGAGAAAAGGGGTTGTAGGGTTGAAAATAATTAATTGCCCACAAGGCCGTGTAAACGCTTTTGAACCCTGTCATGGTTAGAAAGTAAAATGCTTGGTGAACGTCCTCTGAGTGTAGTGATTTCATAATTATTTCCAAGGGATATAATTCCTAGAATAATGGGAAATTTCAGACAAGTATTTTCCCATACTCTAAAGAATCAATAAACTGAACATGAATGAGTGGATAGTCGTTAATGGATTGCGGATAATGTCAAATAAGAAAAACATTAAATATGTTTTATTACAATTTATTAACATTTCCTTTGATTTCCTTCCGGGTCCCAACCAGAGACCTAAGGTCAGAAATGGCATGATATTTTCCACTGAACATTTGTGTAAAAAAAAAAACTCCAAACGCATACAGAAGTAAATGTTTATACCTGGTTTCCTGTTTAGGATTGAGTTTCCGGTTTCGTCTAACGTCTTTTCATTCTCTCTTACTCCCAGTAGCCCCTTGGGTCTTAGTGGCATTATTAACTTAATGGATTAAAGAAAAACATTTTATATAGACAAAGCCCTTCATAATATGTAATCTGCGCTTGTGAGGACTTTTTTTATATTTCTTTAGGGCAAGGGCTGCCAGGAATCTCTTCAATGGCTCAACTAAAAACTTTTCCAAGCAAATGCAGGACCCTATTAATATTATTAGTTGTAATAGTATTAGTAGTATCTATAATTTCATAATGACTACAGCTAATAAACCCATAGAGGTTGATATGCCGTTAAACTAAAACAACCAACCCACAGCTAGTGCAACGGGTATTTTTCCAAGTATCCATGTTACATTCGTGACGAAATAAATAAATGACTCATCCTACCTCCGCCTATAACGATCACGATACCAGTTGTCACTGGTTAGACATTTTGTTTTTTGACACATTTCAATAGCTGATGAGCCTATAAGCGAAATGTTACTTCGACCGTTGTATCTTGTCGCAATGCGAAATTCACTGACGACGCGGTAGACATCGAATCAAATAAGCAGAAAAGCAAAACCGATCGATTTCTAAAACAATATCGCCAAAACATTTACAAATTAAAAAAAGAAATCTACATATCTACAAATTAATTCACAATAAATAATTGAACGGCTTGAGATTGTTTCAAATTAATCTAAATACGCCATCAAAAATGACGACATATTCTATTAGGTCTTTACTGTTATTAGATTTTCGGTTTACGGCCATATCACGTTGAAACACCAGTTCTCATAAGATCATTGAAGTTAAGCAACGTCGACCCTGGTCAGTACCTAAAAGGGTGACTGCGTGGAATAACGGCTCGAAATTGTAAATCGAACAACTGAGTTCCAGTTCCAGTCGTTATATTCACTTAAGCGCAAATATCGTTGGGAAAGGTATGAATCCACCGCTTCTCCCCCTCCGCTATGGGTTAATTAGTAGAACTAGTGTCAGTAAATCATTATTAACTCAAAAAAAATTCTTGCAATATAAAATATTTTCTGACTTTAAATAACCTGCAAATGGTTGATAAGCCTTATAAAAAACACAAATTAATCATTAGATTTTCACATATCACTCTTTAAATATTTTACAATTATTACTATTTTACGTTGCTCTTTCACAGAGTCGGTCTTTTCACTTCATGCCTCTGTAAGCCTCCGCTATTATCATAACAAAGATTCTGCAAAAAAGACACAGACATTACACATAAAATAATTTAAAATAATTACAGATAAAATAATTGCAAATGAATTTGGCGTATGCGTGCGTACATAGGTACAAACCTTAGTAAGAGCTACAAAGGATAGGAAGTTGTAGAGAGCCATGATCATACATGTCTTAAATGGAGATAGCTCATAGAAGAAGTGTGTGTATTAAAATATGATTTTTTACTATTCTTAATATATAGTGAGATATTTACTACGATTAGGATAATTTAGCACAAAGTAACATGCAGAAGAAAACTAGTGAGAATCGAGCTCACTGCTCAAGGTTGTTAATTGTTAATACGTAACATGGCATACACGCACACACACACACACACACACACACACACACACACACACATATATATATATATATATATACTCTCTCGACTCTCCCATCGAATTCGAAGTATGAGGGTCAAGCAGGAAACCGACAGCCCGACAACAGCACATGAGATTTGATTCTAGTGGTGAAGGTTTCGTGCAGGACCAGCCACACATTTTGAAGGGCCGAATTCAGAGACCTGGTGCACTAAGTGCCACAAGGTCCCCAAACGACCCTCCACAGGTTTTGAATTCAGAGTTGTCCTTCTCTTAGATCAGTTGCCATTCAAAGCTATAGAACCCAGCCTGCCCTGCTATTTAACCATAGCTGGAGGAAGAAGAAGAGGATTTACACTTTTCCCAAGGGTATTAGCACGTAAGTGAATGTAATGGATTCAACTGGAATTGACTTCCTCAATCCAAGCCCCTATCCATTACTCCACCGTGCCTCATATATATATATATATATATATATATATATATATATATATATATATCCTTTAGTTCACTGCTACTTACAAGCAGGGTTTTTTTTCTCCTGATGATGGCCATGCAATTTTCCGAGCATCTGACCTAGCAATGGATTCAATATAGTCTTTCTACTTCATGTCAGTCGAGAACGTTAGCCCGAGAAGGTACAACCTGTCAATCTCCTGGAGGTCAGCATCAGCCATACTGATGAAAAGCAGAGAGGATTCTCCCAGATGATTAATAGAGAGCAGTTTAGTTCTGGAAGTGTTAAAGTTAACAAGCCATCCGTTGTCCCAGTTGAAAAAACAGACTGAAGATCGTATTGGATAAAGTCTCAAACTCGTGAGACTTACTATTGAGACAGGAGTAAATGGTTGTGTCATCAGCATAGATGCCAAATTGAGAGATGATGTCACCGGAAAGGTCATTAATGAAAATTAAATACAAAGAAGAACCAAGGAGGCAACTCTGAAGGACACCTTCATTAGTACAAAACTATCTAGACGAGTGGTCGTTTAAGATGACTTCCATTTCACGATTTGATAGAAAAGACTGAATCAGTTGAAATATTTATGCGGAGACTTTTCAATTTGTGGAGAAGACCTGTATACCAACCTCAGTCGAAAACTTTCGAGATATCCAAATCTATAGTAAGAGCTTCACCATTCTTACGTAGAGCTTGACAGGCTATTTCTGCAATTATCGTCAGTACATCAGCAGTTGACCTGAAGAAACGAAAGCTATATTGCTTGTCTGCAAAAAGGGCCCTACGATGTGAGATGCCAAACCAATTCAGCATTGATTAGAGCCTCTAGGAGTTTCTCCAAAAAGACGCAGAAGAATAATGGGCCGATTGTTGGAAGGATCAGACGATTCACCCGAGTTCTTAAAAACTGGAACAACAGATAAGGACTACCAGCAGACAGAAAAGCGAAAGGTATTTATTATACTGTTTAAAGAGAACAGGAACCAGTTCGGTAAAACACTTCTTAATGAACATTACAGGGATAACATCAGGTATACGTGCTTTGAAGGGATCCAGGATAGAGATGATAGCAGAAACACCATAGAAGGGTTTATATGTATATCAATCAACAGAAACTCAGTTCTAAGAGGGAAGTTAAGCAGGGATATTCCAGATGAGTCGGGAGTAGAGTTTAAGAACAATTCATGGGTGAAACATTCAGCGTTATCAGCAAAAGATGCTAACACCTAAACTTGATTGAAGAGAGCAGGAATAGAGACCTTACACTTATTTAATACACTATTACAGAGCCGCCAGTAATCACGGGAGCCAAAGTTGTTATACGCAATGCTGTGCCCTATTCTCTCAGCAAGCAAAGACTTAGCTCCTTCGAGGACTTGTTTACATTTATTACGAGAAACAATGAACAGCCCCGTGTCGTGGTGCGCATTAAAATCTCCGAAGGCAAAAATGTTCACGGATAGATGAAGAGAGAGCGTCATTTCTATACTGTCAGAGATTATATCTAATATACAGCAGTTCTGAGAAGAAGGGGAGCGATAAAGGAAAAAGATATAGATTTTATCGAGAAGCCAACTCTAAGAAGGTTGCCAAGGGGAGTTTACCATATGATTAATATCATTTTGAGGCAGAGAGTATATCAAGAACAATTTTAAGGGAAAGAATTATGATATGACTAAACTATGAAAAGATAGATCATATTAAGTTTTAGCTTAATATAAGTCCTGATGTCTCCTACCGACTAAAAAATCGAGCGGGGAAAAATTAATTGCAACTTGTCACATCAAATTCTTAGCACCGAGTAACAGTAAGAATGCAGTTAGTCTTGGTCATATATTCTTTAATTTACTCCAAAGTTAAGAACTACCAGTTGGCTGTGGTCAAATATTTAACAAGTAAATGGTAATGGTAATATTAGCCGTCTCCATCCACACATTCAGCATTCATTAACTGAGCATCTGGTGCTATCGTCGTTTAAAATTTATAAAATCTTTTTGTTAAAACATTTCCTTCTGAAAATTAGCTTTCTCAAGTCCACAATCTGTTATCGCTCTGTCCAGTATTGATGAGGGTTTCCTTCCTAACCTTTTGTTTGAAGTAAGGTGGAACATCTTTATTATGGCCTTATGTTCTCTTCGGGTTACATATTGTTATGATGTTGATTTGGGGTTAGTAGAGACAAACGCCAAATAACACGTAACAATAAAAAGGGGTTTATTCGGTTGGTAAGTAGGTACAGAAATCGCCTGAGTAGTCTATAACTAACTCAGCCAAGAACTTCTCCGACCCTGTCTGTCTTTTGACATGCCACTATTTAACGTCCTTGTTTGTAGACAAATTCATCTTCAAGAGGGGTGGTAGGTTTCCTACACAACACATATGCAATCCATTTTAGTCGTTGGTGTTGTTGAAAGACTTCGAATGATGCGGTTTCTGTTATTTGGTATAGTTTTCTGTAAACCGCTCTCTCGAGTGGTTTGTAACGCCCTATTGCGTCTCTGTCTTTGGGCAGAGTGCACTCAGGAGCGGTTCCGTCAAAGGACACTCGCAACTGAGGAAAATTATACTGAGAAGTGCCCAGACCTGGGGAACAGCAGCTCGAGGCCACGCCCTCACATTGCACCGGAGTAAGGGTTCGGTGCTCGCACCGAGGCTAGCGCAACCGACAGTTGCCGGGGTAGCGGGCAATTTTTGTTCCTAGCCCGGGTGTACGCGCTCAGGTCTCCCACCTTAAAAACTGACCTTATGTCACAACTCGTCTTGGTGGGGGAGTTAAATACCTAGTTTTTGTAATTCTGTAGCGGGGCCAGTTCACAAGGTTCGAAGAAGGATGGTCCTCGCTAAGACCTACAGTTTTCATTCACTCGAAACCACTTTATACCGTTGATGTGAGAAAGTGGTTGTATACAGCTTACGGTATAAATATTTATATAGGGATAGAGCATTGTCTGGCAGTAACCCAAGGGAGGTGTGCAGAGAAATACACTTGTATTTTAGTGCCAAGTGTATTTGAATTTATTATACGCAAGCGAAGCTTATTTTTTTAGCTTTTTTTATGGCTGCCTATTGCATATACTGCTACTCCATTATTATTTACCTATAATCATTTTCTGTGATAAACTGCTTTCATTTTATTGTTGCTTATCACAACATTCAAATCAATAGACATTAACGATATTAGTGTTTATCAACCTATTTTCCTGCTGCTGTTGCTACTACTACTACCACTTGTTAGAATTTTGGGGTATTTTAGTACTAGTGAGCCATCCAAAATGAGCTGACTCATTTTATAGTTCACCAATAGAAGGGTTAACCAATCAGAAGGCTCAAAATATTCAATGCGACGTGTATAAAGGCAGCCATGTTTTTTTTTTTCGAATGTTCACTGCCAACCTCTTATATCGAAGACTGAAGAATTACGGAACAGCTGCTGGTATTGGCGATATAGTCAGATCCAGTAGAGTGTCTGACTCATGAGTATTAATCTTTAACGTTGTTTTATTGAACATATTATGTACTGCGCTGTATTCTATATTCATAAACTTGACGAACATGGGCAACACTAATAATAATAATAATAATAATATTTGTTAATTACCATGATTTTATGGAAAATATAGTAGACCCGGTTCCTGTTGCTTTCTCCAGAGTTTTGAATTTAGAGTTGTTCTCTTAGACTGGCTGCCACACAAGGTTAAAAAACCAAGTCTACTCTATTATGTAACCCCGAGATGAGGCAAAGGGGATTAGCGTAAAGCTAATCGCCGCAGATTAAACCAGAACTTGAATAATAAACAAAACGCTATGGCGTGAATAATCGTAAG